CACAAATCGTGATTTTTTTAGTGTTTGAGTATGATTAGTTTGTATTGGCGCATTTTTCTGTTTTGCAGTTTTCCGCTGCGCAGTTTTATGATTGCGCACTTTCCTTGTAACGTCGTTAAAGCCTACTTGTATAGACATTCCGTGTCATTTGAATTAACTGTGTTGTTTCATCAATGCTTTATGTTACTGTATGGACCGTCTCTAAAAGTAGTTCCTCATAACGTAGCCATTATTCAATATATGTGGATCGGCGTAATTTTAATTAGCTGGGTTATTACATGTAAGTTTGATATTACTGTATGGACAGTTTATAAAAAATAATTCGTCATATTTATTCTATGTGGATCAGTTCACTTTTAGTTAAATGTGTAATTAAATGCAAGTTTTATATTACTGTATAGACAGCCTTGACCTAGATATTAGCTTCACTAATGTTTTCCCTTCCCTTTCGCCTACCCTACCCTCTTTCTAACCCTCATTACTGAACTGTGTTACAACAAGCAGTGGCGTCGCTATGTCCGCTGTCACCCGGTGCGGCACTTCATTGTGTCACCCCCCTCACACACACAAGAAACACAGTATATATATATATATATATATATAATATATATATATATATATATATATATATATATATATATATATATATATATATATATATATATATATATATATATATATATATATGCATGTATATATACATATATGTATATATGTGTATGTGTATGTGTATGTGTGTGTCGGCCTACATAGGGCTATAATTAAAATATATGCCACATTCGCTTTAATCATTACAGATTTAATATTAACGATGGTTTTCTATAGTCTTTTAATAATACAGTTAGATGTAAAATTGTTTTCCCTATGGTTCGCACGTTTACGTCATGATGTCAACCCCATCGTCTTGTAATAAGTGTCGATTTGTACGTAAAAAATTATTTAACTTTAATTAATCATTAATTGAACTGGCAAAAAGTATTTTTCTTTTGTTCATTTAGCAATTTTTTTTTCGCCTTGGTGTCACCTTCCCCATAAATGGTTTCACTCGGTGCGGTCCGCAACCCCCCCCCCCCCCCGCCCCGCCCTCGCTACGCCTCTGCCTTCATATGCCAAGGTTTGGATACAGGTGAATTCTACTTCGCCAGCACTATTTTACCCCCGGTTCACAAATTGTATCTACATCGATCTTTTCGAATCTTCGAAAACCATCCATCAATTCTACCAATTCCCATCAGCTTATTCTCGCACACTATTAATGCATTTTCTATCATAAAAAGACAATTGAATGTGGTAGGGTTTAAACCAAGCTTACTAAGGTATGTTTAAAAAACAATTTAAAAAATCAATATAATTGATCTTGGTATCGTGTAAGCATAGTGAGCTTAAAGGTCTAGCTGTGGCTTATTATGTTGGTTTGTGTTATGTTTGTTATGGGTTGTAAAGAGCCTTCGTATATAACACATATAGGGCATAAGGTTAGGGATGGCTTATTATGTTGCTGTGTTGTGGTATGTGTTATATAGTGTAGCCTAGATCCTTTGCAAATAACCTTGGGTTTTTATGTAGATTTTCGCTGAACAAAAAAGAGTAACACTGCCCTTTTTCTTTACGAGAAAAAAAAACAGATAGCATAACTAGACATTTAATATTTTGTTTTAAACAAACTTTGATGCAATGCAATGAAATATTTCTGATGATTTTTTTTTCTATAAAAATGATTAAAAATTGTGTGACGGTGTGTGTATGCTGATGGGATGGGGTGGGGGATACGGTTGCGTATAGACGCTTAATAGAATGTGAATTGGCAATGTGTGATTTAATTAATGGTTATATGATCGTCATAAAAAGTCAGATTTTGTATTTTGTATTTCGTGTGTCTCTGTCTGTCTGTGTGTGTGTGTGTGTGTGTGTCTGTCTGTGTGTGTCTGTCTGTGTGTGTGTCTGTCTGTGTGTGTCTGTCTGTGTGTGTCTGTGTGTCTGTATGTGTGTCTGTGTCTGTTTGTCAGTGTGTGGATCTGTGTGTGTGTCTGTGTCTGTGTGTGGATCTCTCTGTGTGTGTGTGTGTGTCTGTATGTGTGTCTGTCTGTGTCTGTATGTGGATCTGCTTGTGTGTGTGTGTTTGTGTCTGTCTGTGTGTCTGTCTGTGTGTCTGTCTGTGTGTGTCTGTCTGTGTATCTGTGTGTCTGTCTGTCTGTGTGTGTGTGCGTAGTTAATATTCATGTACTTAATATTCAGTTATCGTTACCCTGTGGGGGCTTAAAGTCACTGAGAAAATGTGTGTCTGTGTGTCTGTGTGTGTGTCTATGTGTCTGTGTGTGTGTCTATGTGTCTGTGTGTGTCTTTGTGTCTGTGGTCACCTCATATGAGGGACTAGTATCATTTATTTCTAAGACCAGAATTGATGGGATTCGAACTCGAGACTTTCGGGTTAACAGTCAAGCCGTCAATCAACCAGCTATATCGCCCGGCATTAGTGATAGTAGGCGTGAACAGTTCTCAAGATTAAAGCTAATCTAACCCAGGATCGATATTCAATATGCTTTGTTTAATTTATTTTTACCTACTCTGTTAGGGTCGGAAGATTAAATAATACATGAATCTATCAGGGACGATTTATTTACAATTTGACATGTGACCTTTTGACCTACAGATTGCATCACGACTGAACCTGCTGAACGATAATGGGATTCTTGGTTAGATTTATTTGTTTACAAGACAGTTGTTTTGTTGATTAGGTTTCTGTTTAGGTTTTAATAAAGTAGTAACTCGTTACTGGCTTACGGATAGAATATATTTCAATCAATAGTGTCTATGCTTATATAGATCAAAATCCTAACCATATACAACAATAAAAAAAATGATCGAAACAAAGTATAATTATAAACATAAACAATTATTTTTTAGCTTAGTCCGACAGTTAAAATAAATTTCTTGCTAATACTAACCCTAAATATAATCATAACCATACATTAAACTTAACCATTAAACAAACTACCCCTGCAACCAATTATTATAAAGTAACACAAACTTTAAAACTGCACCCAACGCTATACCTGAATCTAAACCTAAACGGCAGCACAAATATTACATCAAATCTGGCATTGGATCTTAAATATAAATCCAAACCTAAATTTAAATCTTGTATAAATCTATCCTAGCGACTAAAACTCGACTAAGTAGTACACAACAAACAAACTTCATTCCAATTTAAATTTAAAATTCAAATTTAAATTGGATCCATCTTGTATGTGTAGAAGCAGTGGCGTAGCGAGGTCGGGTGTCACCCGGTGCGGCACTTAAAGATGTCTCCTTCCAAACGACATCTCTATCCACACTATTACATGTCTTCTCAAAATCGAAAAAGAAAAGGTTAGGTAGTGAGGCGATTGCCACAAATTGACATAGTGGCTATGTGGTCAGCACATGAAAATGTTTTGTCAAAAACTTGAATGTTATTCTGGTCTCAATTTCTTATCTAACACATCATTCAGCCTATACAACATAAGTCTCGTGAGTACCTTAGCAGGGGAAGATAATAGTATGATTCGTCTTTAGTTGTTGCTTTCCCAAAATGTCACCTTGTCTGGTAGCTTCATGAGATACCAGTTTCCAAATTGTAGCCGCTTGTTCCCAGATCTTCAGCATTAGCGGTTGTACACATTAATATAGACTGCTACAACCACGCCTTTCAAACGTCATCAGTCCCCTACCCTACAGTGGCTAACCAACAACAATTACTCGACTCCACCTTTACACGCGAACTGAAATCCTCGTGGTCTTGACTCTCAAGACACCTCGCAAGCACGTGTTCATTTCAGTGGCGAAACTAGAAAAAAGTGGCCATTCCGCAAAAAAAAAAATTCTGGGCCCCCTATTTATATACATATATATAAATATATATATATATATATATATATATATATATATATATATATATATATATATATATATATATGTATATGTATGTATATATATGTATATATATATATATATATATATATATATATATATATATATATATATATATATATATATATATATATATATATATATATATATATATATATATTGTGTTTGTATGTGTGTGTGGCAGCATTTATATATATATATATATATATATATATATATATATATATATATATATATATATATATATATATATATATATATATATATATATATTTTATATATATATATATATATATATATATATATATATATATATATACATATATATAAACCTAAAGCTAAACGGAAACCTAAACCTAAACCTAAACCTAAACCCAAACGTTGGATAGTAATTTCTGGCCTGATCGGGTTTAGAAAAATTTTTTTTTTTTAATTTAAACAAATTACAACATATTATGTGTGAGTGCATTAGTCTGTTTTGAATTATTTATTTTTTTTGGTTTAAAACTAGTTTATTCAATTTGCTTGCCGGTCAGAAGAATATAAAGCGTGAAAGCTTTGTATGTGTAATGGTTTCTCGTGTTATGTTTATTTTTATGTTTTTATGTATTTGTAATATTTGTTTTAAATATATTTTCTGTTTATGCTATGTCAATTTTTAGTATGCATTTTTTAAATGAAAACTGTATAAATAATAATCAAGAGAAGTAATTGCTTTTTAATTTGTTTAGTACAAATATATTAAAAGGAGCGTATAAGCGTCTCTATTTAACAATTTAAAAAAGGGAAATAAGTCATGGAAGTTCTTTGAACGTTAGACTATCTTTCACATTACAGCTCAGACATATATATTTTTTTACGCAACAGTATGTGTTAGCTACTGTATAATATCACTACTGCAGTAGATCTGTTTGTTATTTACAAAATCTTTTACCGTTACGTCAAAAATTCTTTGTTTTTTTTTAAATATAATTTTTTTATTATGGTCGGCTTTGGGCCCCTAAATGGCGTGCCCCCCCCCCCCCCCCCCCCGCATTGCGGGGTCTGGCGGCACTGAAGTTCCGCCCCTGGTTCATTTTCAACTATAAAAGCAAACTGCTCAGCCAATAACAATCGTACATGCTATAAACTTTCGTACGCAATCACTTGTTTTGCAAAAGTACCAGGCATACGCTACGTAAGTGAGATAAATAATTACATGTAATATATTTGGTTCACCTCCAAAACGGCCCGGGACAAATCGGCCCCGTCAAATCGGCCCCGTTAATATGACCCCGTCAAATCGACCCCCGACAAAACGACCCGTCAAAATAACCCCGTCAAAAGGGCCCCGACTTATTTGCTCCTGTCAAATGGGCTCCCGTCATACTGACTCGCGACATATAGGCTCCCGACAAATGGGCTCCCGACATTTAGGCTCCCGACAAATGGACTCCCAAAATTTTGGCTCCCGACAAATAGGCTCAGGACATATTGGCTCCCGACAAAGCGGCTCCCGACATATTGATTCCTGACGTAAGGGCTCACGACATATTAGCTACCGACAAAAGGGCTCCCGACTTATTGGCTTTCGACAAAATTATTCCCGATATATTGGCTCCAGACAAATGAATCGCATTACCAGTATTGGCATAAAAGTAATCATTTGTCCTACACCCACTATCACTATAACCTGTTTTAAATGCTTGCATGAAATTGTTTTTCATGAACCAACATCAATTCACAAACAAATTTAGTCCTTAACAGCTAAATTCCACCAATTCTAAAATTATGATAATGTTATATTTACAACAGAAAAGATATGTTGCTTAAAAGCGAGCACAAAACTGTAAATGTATGCTATACATGATGTTTACAGGATAACGTCATTTTGTTTTCATAGCCTACAAGCATACTGCAGGTAGGAATGTACAGCGTGGACCCCATCCCCACACACACACACTGAGTTGGAACAGCCTATAACCGACTCACTTATGGAAGTCATGGATAGATGACCCTTAAATTAAAACATACTATTTCTTATACTAAATAAATTAATATAAGGCCTGCCGAATAAGAGATACATAAGTTATATTACTTGGATAAGCTGACTCTTAAGAATATTGATGAAGGGGTCCCACTGGCAGGTGTCATATTTAATGAGACTGTTTGGCCGAGAGACTTAGTCTCTGCGGATACCGTATTGTCAGTGGTCATTTTGTCGGGAGCCAAATTGACATAAGCCTATTTGTAGGAGCTAAATTGACGGGAGCCTATTTGTCGGGATTCGTAATGACGGATTCGTTATGTCAAATTAATTAATTAATTAATTAATTAATTAATTAATTAATTAATTAATTAATTAATTAATTAATTAATTAATTAATTAATTAATTAATTAATTAATTAATTAAATGCCTAGTGACGAGCGTATAGCGATGCAGAGGTTCTTTCGGATACCCCTCCCCCTCCTTCCCCCACCCGAAATAAATCTACTGCATTGGGTAAGGATATGGTCAGTTCCGCATAAAACATTATGTCAGTACGGGGGTAAATGCCCGATAAAGCAATTACACGGGAGAGTTATTGCAGTTGTGTAAAGACAGGTTAAGAGCCGTGTACTATGTTACCAGAATAAGGTCAGATCCTCGCAAGGTATTATGTAAGTTTATACATATACATAACATAAAGTTTAAAATCAATGCAGTATAAAGAGTTATGTAATTAGAATGTTTCATTTTAGACCTGATAAAAGGAGTTGGTTATAACTATATAGTATGTTATGTGAGAATTTGGTCATTGCCGTGTAAGACGTTATTTAGGGATACGTCGGAGCTGTGTAAGGCATTACATACGAAAATGATTAGTACCGTGTAATGAGAAGTTCCTTGGAGTGCAAGGCGGTATGTCAGGGAAGGATCAGTGCAGTGTAAGTTTTTTTTAATGAGAATGACAATTTTGAATTTTTTGTGTTTCCTTGACCATATAATTAGAATTGAAAATGTATTACTATGCCGTTCCTCTGTATTAAAGGAATAAGAAGATCCATATCGACTTTTCCGTATCCGTGTCCTTACCATTATGTTATGTATAGGTATACATTATTCAGTCGTCAGGGGTCGGCGTGGACGAGACGGTAAAGCTTATGGTTGGTAAATCGAAAAGATTGAGTTCGAACCCTAGGGGAGATGAGGCTCGTTAGCTGGGGACAGCCACTCTTCTAGGAGAGACAACTCCAAAATCAAACAATTGTTGCCTTGTAGTTTGTTCTTGGTTAGACATAGGCTATGTAAGCAAATCCAAAAAGAAAAGCAGGCTGAAATCGGAGTCAATGGCCTCAATGGCGCATAACCAGTTGATACGTATCCTTAATTGTGATGGGGGCGTGGTCGAGTCGGCAAAAGCTCATGGTTGAAGAATTCGAAAAAAAATCCTCGAGTTCAATCCCCCACGCGGATAAAGCTCGATCCCTTCCAACACTAAAAATTTAGAACGAAAAAGAATAACAAGAAGATGATTTAGCCTTCATTATTATTAAAGCTCATTTAAATTGCTATTATACAAACTTCCTACAATGGCATCGGAAAACCTAAAACATACTTACTTGGCTCGACCAGTGTTTCTTTCAAAGCGGGGCACAAGTTAAAGGAAATAATTTCTGTATAAATTATGTATTATTTATATTTTCTTCGGGATTAGGGAAGGAGGACTGAAATAGCTAAGCAGAAAAAAATATATTTTACACGCAAGGAACAAAGTTTGGCCATTAAGTGTTTTAAGAAAGCGATTCAATATAAAATATTGATTCTTAATATTTTTAACTTTGTTCTGTGTTTATAGGCAATGTTTATAGAAACTAGAAACAACAGAGAACCAACTAAGATGATCATCTTACTTTACAAACTGGTGAAACTGATCACCATTATAATATTGATTTTGATAGCATGCTCACCCAGGTAAATATAAACAAAGAGTGCGGGCGGTAGTAAAAACACAAATGGACATACTATAACACATTAACATAATGTTATCCAATAGCTAGACTTAGCTTACTGATCAAATACAATTCAATCATTACGTTATTTATTTATATATATATATATATATATATATATATATATATATATGTATATATATATATATATATATATATATATATATATATATAACCATCCCCGCGAGTTGCTGAAGGGGTAAGAAGAAAATCTGACGAAATATATAACGAGGGTTTCAGTAATGCGTTTTCGGGCAGATGAGGCTCTTTAGCTGGGGACAGCCACTCTTCTAGGAGAGACAACTCCAAAATTAAACAACTGCTGCCTTGTAGTTTGTTCTTGGTTGGACAAAGGCTATGGAAGCAAATCCAAAAAGAAAAGCAGGCTGAAATCGGAGTCATTGGCAGCAATGGCGCATAACCAGTTGACACGTAACGCTTAATTGTGTTGGAGGCGTGGTCGAGTCTGCAAAAAGCTCATGGTTGATAAATTCGAACAAAGTCTCGAGTTCAAACACACTGTCAGATAAATCTCGATCCCCTTCAACACTAATAATTAAGAACGAAGACGAAGAAGAAGATTAATGCGTTAACAATCTTATATTCTTAGTCGTGTGACACCTATCCTAACCTACAAACGTGTAATACGGTGAAAACTTAAAATTTCAAGTGATTTTTGTGCACGATTACAATACATTCTCTATACTTCGTATGTACGAGAAAGTAAAAAGGAACTATTTCATTCAAATTTGATTTAGATCTACGTACGCTAGGAAATGTATACCACACACTTTTCTCGGCCTAAACTTATAAAATTTACTTTATTTATTTGAATTCTGGATCTAGATCTAGATATTCAAGATCTAGATCTAAAGATTCTATATAAAGATCTAGATGATTTACACAGATCTAGATCTAGAATCTATTCCAATAATTAGTTTCTATACTAAACTGTCTAAGGCCTTAATTGTTTTATTGAAATCTTTTTTTTTGTTTAGCAATGGCATTGGCTAATTTGGGATATCATTTTATTTGAAATAATAGGGCCTATTCGCATAACTAAAGTTTAATTCGAAGACTCAAACTTTAATAGTAGGACTTTTTTGGACAAAAAAGGCAGTGCTTAGTTAGCTGAGATGATAGTGTAACAGTTACCAAGCGGGTGATACGGGTTCTAGACACATCGCGTCAATATTATTTTTTATAAATTTAATTTTTTTTTTCAGATGTTAATAATAAAGTTGCCGATCGGTACTTGGCGGTACATGGGGCAGGTCAAGTAAAGTCCACATGTTTCTGTATCCTCAGCATATGAAGGGATAGTGTGGTCAGACCATTCTCGGTCGAAATCGTTGAGATTTGCCGGGACACTGGGCAGGTGAAATAGAGTTGACCCTATTTCGTTACCTAGGCATAGGAAGGGATAGCGTGGTTAGACCTATGCTCAGCCAAAATATGTGTTTTTAAAAGACAAAAACGTTTGAAGTGCGACCTCTTTTGGTATTTGGTGTCTGTTTTTTGTGACGATAAGTGACATTTTGTAAACAATTCCCGGTGAATTATTAACAAACTAGGCGGTAGGGTGGTGTAGGTAAACCCTTGCCCGGATACATTTGATTTAAGTGCAGGCAATGTTTACATTTAAACAACATAATTTTAGAAAACAAGGACACGCGTCTAGGATTATAGGATTGGTTAAGCATTGATGAAGCCCTCCTAATATATTCCGTCAGACTTTTTATTGTTTTTCATGCATCACTCAGCCTTTTATCAGATCGCCATAAAATTTTGGGACGTTGTGGAGCACACTCCAGGCATGCTTTCGGCAAAAACCAAAATTCATTTCGCACGGTCAGCATCCCGGTTGTTTTACATTTTGGCACTCGGGTAATCCCCTTAGAGCGATGGCGCCTACGTTTCTTAAATAGTGTGGTAGACTATGGATACGTATGGGCCAGGGGCGGAACTACCATGCCGCCAGACCCCGCAATGCGGGGGGGGGGGGGGGGGGGGCCTAGGACGTTTATGGGCCCAATCCGACCAAAAAAAACAAAGAATTTTTATTTTATAAATAATGCTTTTCGTACACCTTGATCGTGGTTTTGTAAATAACAAACAGATCTACTACAGTAGTGATGCTATACAGTAGCTAACACATGCTGCTGCGTAAAAAATATATATATATACACATGAGCTGTAGTGTGAAAGATATGCTAACGTTCAAACCACTTCCATGACTTATTTCCCTTTTTAAAATTGCCAAATATGGGTTCTCATAAGTTCTTTTTAATATATTTGTACTAAACAATATAAAAAGCAATTACTTCTCTTTTTATTATTTTTTTAAATTTCTTACTAAAGAATGAAATTGTAAAAAACGAAATGTATTTAAAATTAATAATAAAAGCACAAAAAAACATAAAATAAACATAACACGAGACACCATTACTTATACAAAACTTTCATGCTTTATATTCTTTTGACCGACTTTAGGCTAAGAGGTCTTTTGGCAAAAATAAAAATAAAATAAAACAGATCTTCAAAACAGACAAAAATCATTCACACACATGACATGTAATTTGTTTTAATTAAAAAATTCTGTTTAAACTCGACGATCATCAAGAAATGAGTATCCTACGTTCGCATTTTGTGTTTTTTTTTTGCGGGGTGGCCCTTTTTTTCTAGTTCCGCCACTGGTATGGGCGTTATATATTATTTTCTTGCACTAAATTGAATCAGGCACGTTTTCTAGCAACCCGGCAGAAGACGATTGGCGCTCCTGGTTAGCAGTCTAGCGCTAAACCGCTAGGCCATTCCGTTCCATTGAGCATTACTTTTCGAATTAACCCTAACCAAAACCAACCAAAAACAAAACACACATCAAACGCAACTATAACACAAACGCAAACACAATTACAAACACAAAGAAAACACAAAAGCAATATATAGGTTTTGCTTTTTTTTTAGATAATCAGTGCTTCTCTATTCATTGTAGGAGTAAGTTTAAAAATAAATATTAATAAAAATGAAATTATTATGAATGTTGTTCATTTAATTTTTTTAAATGATAACACCAATTTTGAATGGCATTTTCTTTAGTGACAATGATATTCAATTTATTTCTTTATTCAATTTATTCAGTTACCGTAACAAAAGTAAAACCGGAAAAGATTGGATGCTATTTTTGCGACTGGGTCGTTGAGTTGACAAAAATGAGAGTAGCCAACTATTGAAACAGACACGGCTGAAAAAAAAAATGGATTATAAATGTTGAAATAAAAAATGTGTAGCATGATATTTGTTTGTGTGTTCATTTTTACCATGGCATAACTGTATCCGGTTCGTTGAGTCTGTGCTTATTAGGTTAGTTCATTGGTTATTTTGACGCATTTTAGTTTTAGCAAATAACTACTTGGATTAGCGGTAGAGCGTTTGACTACCATCTGGAAAGGCTCTCTAATATGGGTTTAAGTAAGTGGAATGTCAGTGAGTCCACCCAGCTCTGATTGGCAACTAACTACCTAACTTACGTTAGGAAGAGTAATGGCGGCTGAAATAAACAATTGAGTTCTGCTTCTTCTGCCGAAACTGTACATTTTTATATAACTATCATTCAAATTATAACTATAATTCACAACAGCAACATATTTTTCCTTTTTTTTAAAAAAAAGTATTATTGTCAGCCCATTTTTATACCATTTTAATACTCTCTTTACTACATGTATGTATGTATGCATGTATGTATATATGTATACCAATGTATACCAGGCGTATTAATAAAGAAAATATTTTTTTCATTGCCAATTTTATATAAAGCAACCACCTGGTATGTAATGCCAAGTTGTAGAAAACGTACAACGTGCGATTTTCTTTCTCTCTCACTGACTAAAGAATTTGGATAAAGCAATAGGAAAGACATAAGGATGGCATTTGACTATCCTTTGCCCGATGTAAAAAAGCAAAACTACTTTGGTATCCAGGCCAAACTCTTATTACTAACACATTTCATCTTAACAAATTAATACATGAATCGGCTACATACCTCAAATAATGTATTGTATGTAGGCTTAAAAAAGAATATACAATTACAATGGAAAGATAAACGCTATATAAGCTACACAACTTATCGTATTTTCATTACCTCCCTTTCTTTTTCTGATGTTTATTAAAATATCTTTCTTTATTGCTGGTTGCTTCCCTTGTGATATTTCGATTCAACTGAAAAATATATAAACCACGTAACAACTAGTTTACACTATTAGTTATGATTAACAGGACATTTTGTTCTTGAATTTTGTTTTACAAGCATTCAAATTATTTTAAAATTAATTATTTCATTTAAAATGTTGTTTAGAGATAATACGCACATCACTGGGCGGTAAAATGTGTTAATTAGTATTTAGATATTATAAAACATAACACAACTGAACATTTAAAAAACGTGATGTGCTATATGTAATTTGTTTCCATCCTTATTGTGCTTTTAGCAACATCATTCGGACAAGTGTACTCATTGTGTACTACATCGACAAACCTGTTTGATAATTATTATCTAATATTAAAAATCACTGTTTATTAATTTTACTAAATGAATTAAATTGTACAATATTAAACTCTAAATTTAATAAATTTGAGATATTGAAAAGTTTCAATAGTTATATAGATATTTTTTATGTATTTGTCTAAATATAAAAAAAAAATCCGTCAATTACAAAGCAAATCAGTTACGAGTACTGATTTAAACGAACATAAAAATAATAATAACATTTCAGGGCTAACTTTAGTAACATGATATATGTAATTATGGATATTTATAAACATTAAATTAAACATCGGAAGGATAGGCCACTTAATAATTGAAAACATCACGAAGTTTTTATATATATTTTTTGTTTTTCACCTGTTAATGGAAATCGAATTTTCTTACTGCTTACTTCCCCTGTGTCATTTAGTGTTAATTATAAACAACTCAAAACTTTTAGGTATGAAACTAATGCATTAATGTTTTAAATATAAGATTTCATATCGATGATACCAAATATTTACAGAAAAATTCACAAAAAACGTTTTAATAACAAGCTTTTATGTAATGATGCACTAAAAAGTAGAAAATAAATTATAGACTACTATTTAAATAGCTATAAAGAAAAGCGTGGGTCACTTTAGTATCTATTGGATACCTTTACTAATGTTAAGGATGACACCCACGCTTTTATTTATAGCTATTTAAATAGTAGTCTATAATTTATTTTCTACTTTTTAGTGCATCATTACATAAAAGCTTGTTATTAAAACGTTTTTTATGATTTTTTTTTCAGTACTTTACATGTTTTATTTACAATAGAGTTACATGACTAAAAACCACGCAATTGTTTTTGAACGCAGCCATTACGTGATGGCGCAGCTATTGAAGGTGATGACGCGTGTGGTGTGGTTGGCTAGACATGCCTACTAATTCGGTCCACATTTTTATTAATTCATAAAAAATTAATTAGGCATCCAATTAAGTCAAATTTAGTTTCAGATTGCATTGTCTTCATGTCTTGACCCACGTGCCAAGTGTGAATCGTATCGGTCAAGTAGAACTGTCCGAATTTTCACTCCTGCGTTTCCGTCTAGACTGACGACTGACGACAGAGGAAGCGAGTTAAATAAAAGCTTGTAAAAATCCAATAAATCAATATTAGTATTTGTATTTACGTTATAAAAAAAACATTATCTTTTCATATCAACAAATATAAAATACATCATAATGCGATTTTTAATCAATTTAATGTATGCTACTAAAACCAACAAGTACAACCAACACAAACTAGTATATCTGGTATTAGGTCCATTTTCACTGAGAACGCTAATTGTTTATTATCACTAAACGGGAGAGATGTTAAAACATATGTCGAAAACTTTGTAAAAAATAAAAAAGACCTTCTATAAAATTCACACTCATCATCTAAAAGAATAAAAAAGTTGTTCTCACATAATACTAGAGCACACTTATGTAGAGATTAAAAGTTAGTTATTAATAGGCAGTTTCTGTAAAAATAAATAATCGTCAATTTTCTATGAGAACGCTGATAGTTTAGTATCACTAAACGAGTGAGATAACACTTTAGTGCTACTCAGTGTGTATTTGAGTGTTTTTTTTATTCTTGAGTATGTTCCCTTTTCAGCGTGACACTTCCCTCAACTGCATCAAGGTACGACTAAACCAGGGGCGGAACTACAGTGCCGCCAGACCCCGCAATGCGGGGGGGCCCAGACCAATTGGGGGCCCAAAAATCCTGGCTAAATTATTTTTAAAAAATGAAAAAAAAAAATTAGGTGGAGGTCGAGTTATCTTTCTTCTACAGTTACAAACAAACACGATAGTCGGCAAACGTCTTTGAGAAAAATGCACTGACTATAGCTCGAGAGACCGCCAGACTTATAGACAACTTCAAAGACGTAGCATCTGAAATTTGACTGTGCCGGTACGCTTTGAAATCGGGCTGGGGAAATGTTGCGGCGATGCGACTATCCTGGTCTTCTAGACGATCGGAAAAAGTCGGCACTATTGATGTAGATGTTTATCGGCGCTTTCTTGTCCCCTTCCCTTCCCAACTCTCCCCCCCTCCCCCTACCCCTCACTTCTACCCATCACCACACCCTTACTCTTACAATAAGATGTAATGCATAGATTAACGAACCGTCTATGAACTGTAAACTGACCACTTCTGCACATTTTGTTAAAGACACTAGTCAGTAGTTGTTCATTTACCTGATGAACAGGGGCGGAACTACAGTCCCGCCAGACCCCGCAATGCGCGGGGGGGGGGGAGGCCGTTTAGGGGCCCACGGCTGACACATTTTTTTTTTTTAAATATTTAATTTAATTTTTGCCTTAATATTTGGTTTGTAGCTGCGGTACGATTATCTTTATTTTACAGTCACTATACCACGCTCTTCCGCAAAAGATAAAATCCATTACACAAACTACAGTGTAAAATCTAGGCAACTCTTCAAATTTTGAATGACTTCTTTGACTCGTTGCCCCCCCCCCCTCCCTTTGATAGCTAAATAGAGGGCACGTAACTGTTTGACCGATCCTCCAAGGTATACTGTGGCGGATGGGGCAGGGGATGGGGACCAAAAAGGAGGTTAAAAATTGTTGACAAATTCTTTACATATTTAAAACAGTTATTTATAGTTGTATTTTTTAACCATCGTCAAGGCCGAGTTCTATTTCCCTACAATCAAACACACGCTGTCGCCGGCAAAATTCTTTTTAAAAAAACAACAAAGTCCATAGCACGAAAAGCCGCTACATATGAAGTGGGCTTTCAATACTTTCATGATGCGCGGTTCTTACTTGCGGCATTGGTAGGGGACCCGAAATCCATTGTACATTTTTCAATGTTAATATGTGTTTGTGATAGTGGTTGAATTTGTATCCTGTACTATCTTGTATCGTACAAATAATTTAAAAAAATAATATAATACTAGAAACTTCAGTTTTATATACGTTTACTTGTTTTTGATTTTACAAGAAATATAGTAAACTTGTAAGGCCTATACTTCAAATTATCTCCCCTGAGTAAGTTTTACAATGGGCGATGCTGACGTACATAGATCAAGGCGTTTTGTTGTCCCTTTCAAGTTTTTTTCCCGAGCCGACCCCTATCCCATCCCTCTTTCTCAACCTCACAAGTATCGAGGAGATAAATGTATCGTTTATAAACTACTTCCTAACCGTACGATTCACCACTTCAGCACATTTTGTCAGACACTAGACAGCACTAGATCTAGTCAACACAATATATTAATTTACTTTCATATTATTAGGCACATCTAATTCACAAAGCAGGGCAGGTAAGATTATTTTTTATATAATTATTTAGAAATTAATTAGAACATTTAGAATTAATTGAACATTATTAATAGTCATTGAGGTGGGGGTGTGTGAGGGTCTGGCTTTTTGTTAATCCCCCCCTCCCCTAAATCAGAAGGTTATCCAACGCGTGACCTGGCCACATACAGTTGTACATGTGAAAAACATTTTTCTCTCTATTATTATTATGCATTACTGCATCATTCACCCAATCGCCATGAAAACTTGGGAAGCTGTTGAGTACAGCCCCGCAAAGGTTTCTGTCATAGGCCTAACATTTGTACATATTTGAGTGGGGACTCCTAACGGAAATATGTGATTTAGCGCCCCGTGATCCTGCATAAGCGGATGAGGTTACTACTTGAATACAACCGGCGTCAGTGTCATCCTGAGCGCATCACATATGAGCAAGTTGGCCCCCACAGACA